TAGGGTCTGCCACCTCCACCCTCTATTGCGGGAGGGGTGTGTCCACATCCCAGGGCCCAAAAGGGGAGGTGCTGAGTGCACTCCCTATATTGAGGTTGTCATGTCAAGGGCTGTATAGCTAGGGATATTCTTTAAGGGGGTTTATATGATATGATTTATATGTTTTAATGTCTCAATGTGTATATTATTGGCATTGTTATTTGTGAAGGTTTAAAGAAATACTATGGTTATGTTACTTGGGTTATATAGGTTAATATCCCTATGTGTTAATTGTGTTGTATAGGTTGTAAGTTATTTGGTTCATATTTGGCATTATATGTGAATTGTGATATATTATATATAGTATTATATGTTAAGCCTTGTAAAAATTCTGTTTTATATTAAGTGTCTGTATTTATTCTTGTAATAAAGTGTACATAGTTAAGTATTTGGTTTTTGCCTAGCTCTACAGAGAGGGGAAGAAGCTGCTCTAGTAGCTGACCCCTTCCTCAGCACCCTGCCTGACCACCACCACTGTCATCAGAGGACAGGACACCCCCCCAGGTGTACCCAGGCTACACTTACAACAACAACCAGAGTACTCCACACAGACAAGATGGTCCAACATTGGGGGGGTGGGGTGGGGTGGAGAATGACGGAGGGGACAGACCAGTGAGGTGAAGCACCACTGGCTTCGCCCCATCCCTCCCCTCAACCCTGCTCCTTGGAGGCAGCACAGCACTGGCGTTGCCCCCCTGCACTCCGTCCCCACCATCATTCTTGATGGGCAATTTGCTAGTCATTGCTATAAACTGTACCATGCACCCAGTATACTATTTGACAGCACCATGTTTAAGACCTAGTACTGCAAAGCATTCTCAGTAGAAAACAAACCTGAAAAGGACTGGCAAAATTAGATGCAGAGATCTCCAAAATGCTTAACCTGACCATTAGCACTGGATTAGGACTAGTAATGCAGTCCTGCTATACAAGCAAAAAAACCCTCAAGATGTTACCCTTTTATATATGATGGGTGATTTTTTTCAATGCAAAAAGTGCTTTGAAGTGCTTACTCAAGGCAGCTGAAGGTTGTCTTATTATTTTAACATTACATCTTCTGTGCATCTAACATTACATCCTTTCCGCTACAAACTGCCATTTCATACAAATAATTTAGAATGTCAATCCATACAAACTTTGTATCAGAAAGAAACTGCTTTTCAAACTGCATACTGACCACAGTGCTGATAACATCTGGTGTAGCAATTTGGATTTATACTGCAGCACTTTTCATCACGTTTTACTGCATCAGCTTTATTATTGAGAATGCCATTAACTTAAACCAATATTAAAGATGAAGGGCAATTGTTCTTAGCAGCAAAATTAAGGAATTCTGCATTAGAATCCTGCAATAGGATGAGATACAGAAAAGAGGATGCAACACCTTCACATATCTTGGCAGATTCTTTAGTTAGAAAAACCTTACACCTCAAACCTTGCATAAAACGTGCAAAGTACAGCATTATGCAATTAAAAACAGGATTTATCACATAGCAATTAGTCAAGCTTTTTTATCAAATATGATATAATAAACCCTAGAGAAAGGGCTTATGGATCAAGTAATGATTAAAATGAAAATAATAACTGGCGTATAAACCAAAAAGACACATTTAGCAATTATTCACAGCTTTCATACTTTTGATAGCAGAACACTCCTTTACATAACAAGTTTTTATTTGTCACTTTCTTTCTAAAGTTAATCCTGAGATCAAAATAAAAATAGGATATTGTTTCTAATATTTATGTACAATATGAAATAAATAAAATTATGGTTGATAATCTTACTAATTAGAACCATCACACAGTTCAAACAAACAGATCAGGAAACTGACAAGAGAAAGTAGTGGAATGAGAAAATATTTGCTGGACTAGAGAGGAACAAGGTAAAAAGTAGAAAGAAACTGTAGATGAAAGAAAAAAAAAATGTGATCACCACAAGGAAAAGGTGTTTTGCATTAAAATGGGACAAAAACTGTGGAGATTAAGTGAAGGAAAAGTTTTTGACAAGGGTGTCAGTGTTGCAGAATAAGGGAAATTATCAAATGCAGTACAGGTTTTAAATCTGCAGAAATGACTGCAAAATTAATATTGATCAGAAAACAGAGAAAGAACTTTTTTTGTTTATATTACAAGAATGCTTATCAGCACCCTCAAGACACTGCTGTATTAGAGGATGTAAAACCCATGGGAAGGAGATTCCCCAATCTGAAGACTTTACAATCAAGATTAACAACAAAGTATATGAAAACAGTTAGTGGGGAAGGAAACTAAAAATGAGGTTACAACTCTAAGAACATGTTCTCATAAAGGCTAACTCCATCAAAAACGAAGATTTCCCAGCTACCCTAGTATTTATCAAATGGCAGTGTCTTGACATTATGAGGAAATGCCTCATTCCTTCCCCCTTGTGGAAGCAGGACAACAATGAATGCCTGCAAGGTGACTTCTACGGGGAACCCCTGGTAGCATGTGCACAAACACCTCTGAACTGTGCAAACTGTGAACCAGTCCCCATCCAGTGACATTCTTGAAATGGTTTGTTATGTGCATGTCCATGCCCTTAGGGTGCAGACACGTGTTAATTGGGAGAGGCAGTTAGTCATATTAGTCTTAAATCAGGCAGAAAGCAAGGAAGATGCAGTTAAAACAATTTAAATTAGGAACAGGCAATTATTCTGGCTTGAGGGCCACTTACCGAGTTTTGGTGAGCTGTCAAGGGCCAAAAGGGTAGCCCCACCCCTCAACAAGTGCCCCACCCCATGGCCATTATCTTGGGACCAGAAGTACTACCCCTAACCCCCTGACCTTTGCCACCAGAAGTCCCTCCCCTTGTGCCACAGGTATTCCTTTTGGAGAGGACTGCAATCTTGAAACAAAGAAAAAAAACCCCAAACAAATCTTATACTAAAAATCAAACATCTACTATAACTAGGGGTGCACTGATAAAGACTTTCCTGGCTGATACCAACAGCCAATGATTAACCAAACATATTGGCCGATGCTGATTCGATAACCAGTATTTAGTAATAGTGCAAGGCATTTTACACTACTGACATAAATAAACCTTTTTTACATTTGTTTTGCATTTATAACACACACACCTCCTGCCTGCTTTGGCCCTTGATGAGGAAGGTGACAACTACCTTATTCCCATGCACGTTGCTCCCTCGCCCATGGCTCCTACTCGCAACCCTGCTCCTCATGCAGCCATCCCAGACAGGCGGAGTGGATCCTTGTGCAGACAGTGGTGCTGGGTGGGTCTGAAGCCCCAGAGCATGCTGCTGCTTCAGCAGTGGGTTCCGCGCAGCCAAGCTCTCACAACCGCCAAGAAGCTGCTTTTGCCAAGGTGCCTAGTGC